TTTGTTACATTCCCCTTGATCATGCCCTACCAGGTCTCCCACACCCACCTCCCCACCAGTTTGGATCGCTTGTTGTTCCCTTGTCGAATCGACTGGAGGGTAGTGGGCTGGTTTGCTTTGAGTTTCTACAGTTCGTATAGCCTCACCTCAAAACCTCCACCTGTGGCACTTGTGGGATATTTTAATGTACATAACAAACATAGACTGACATGACTCTGGTTGATCTCATGATTGTTTTCTCTTCCGCAGCTATGCAAATGCACTACTGGCCCTTAAACTTGAAGCCTTAGCCCAAGGGCAAGATAGCCTAAGCTGGAATGAAATTCAGAATTGTATTGACATGGTTAATTTCCAGATACAGGAAGAAAATGACAGTAAGTATGGGTCCGATTTCCTTTTCCAGGAGGGTGGGGAGGAGGAGGTGCTGGACGATTCCGTTCTCTGGATTAGCGAGTGCTACATGGGTTTGCTCCTGGAAATCTGTAGATGCACACGCCCCTAATGTGTACATAGAGATTTTATGTACACGTCTCCACTCACATCGTGTAAACATTACAAAGAATACACAGAGACAGAAAAAGATTGGATGAAAAAAACTTACGTGGAAGTCCTGACATTTTTATATCGAGATGATCTTCAGAGACCTCGGCTCTAGAAAGTGGCTTTTTAAACACCCCCCCGCCGCTCCCCCCGCCCCCAGCTGCATTTTGACCTTTCACTGGGGTGTCGTTCTGTCATGTGGCACACGCTCCTGACCCGGGAGCACAGGCCTGAAGACACAGGCTCTTGTGTTACGACCCCAATGCATGGTGAGCAGTTACGTTTTTGAAATGGCCGAGGTGAAGCACACCAAGCTAGGCCTGAGATGGGTTTTTGACCCTCGCTTTCCCTATCTTCAACCTCTTGCTTATACAAACAGAGAGGAGAATGAGGGACCGAGTGACTTCAGCAATCAGTCTCTCTCTTTTATTGTCGTCTGTGCGAAAGTTTACAGAGCAAATTCATTTCCCAGTCAACAGTTGATACAAGTTTTGTTTTGTGCCATTAGTTGTCATCCTCTTACTGTCTTACAGTAATAGCATGCTTACCACATCTTCTCTGGGCCCACGTTGCCATTGGTTCTTCTTCCTTGCCCTTCCTGCCTTCTAAGCTTTGTTTCTGGGCAAATGCTGCTCTTTGGGTCTTCTCTGGTTGCTTGGGGCTGGGAAGCACATTCCTCTGGGTGTTAATGTTCACGTCAGAGGCCCGTCTATTGTTCAGCTGAAAGGTGAGCTTCCAGTATTTTCACTGCTGTTTTTTTTTTCCTTGTTTTTTTTTTACATTTTATTAGGAGCTCATACAACTGTTATC